CTCTCTCTCTCTCTCTCTCTCTCTGTGTGTGTGTGTGTGTGTGTGTGTGTGTGTGTGTGTGTGTGTGTGTGCTAAAGCTGAGTCAGAGGAAGAGAGCAAACACAAGGTTAAGTAAGTCAGAGGCAAGACAGCAAACATAAGGTGAAGGTTAAGTCAATCATACTCACCTATGACTCAACCGAGTCGACGCAAGAGAGCAACCACAAAGTTAGGGTTGGATGAGAGGCAAGAGAGCAAACACAAGGATAAGGCTGGGTAAGATGCTGGAGAGCAACAACAACGTTAAGGTTGGGTCGAGAGGAAATATTACCAACAAAAGCTTACGGTTGGCTCAGAGGAAGGAGAGCAAACACAAGGGGCAAGAGAGCAAACACAAGGGGCAAGAAAGCAAACACAAGGGGCAAGAGAGCAAACACAAGGTTAAGGCTGAGTGCAGCGGCAGGAGAGCAAACACAAGGTTAACCCTGAGACAGAGGCAGGAGAGCAAACATAAGGTTAAGGTTTGGTCCATCTTACTCACCTCCGCCCCCAACCAAGTGGAGAAAGAGAGCAAACACAACGTTAAGAGGAGCGCCGCTTCATATAAGTTAAGGTTAAGAGATCAAACATAAGGTTAAGGTTAAGACTTATGATGGGTCTATCTATATAAGAGTAAGTATTACTTACCTCGGCCGCAACCGAGTAGAGAATCATCGCCCTCGCTAATTGGCGCCAGTAAGAGGAGCGCTGCTTCAGACGACTAACCAGAGCCATCTCTTCCTTCGAAATGGACTCCAACTTCTTGCCGTAGTCGGAATCGTCATGGCGGCGGAAAAGACGGAAGACGAAACGGAAAGGGCCAAAGATGTAAGAGAAAAAGCCGCCCTTTTTCTTCGGCAGCGAGGACTTGGTGGAGGAAGGATCGCTCGGAGGAGTGGCGATCACGCTGTCTCTAACGGGGGACGACAGAGGAGATGCATTGCCGCCTCCTCCCTTGATAGAAGAAGGCGCTGCAGGGCTTTCTTTCCCTCCCGGAGTAGTACTCATCCTTGCATAAGCCAACCTCTCTCTCTCTCGCGCGCGCGCTCTCGCTCTCTCTCTCTCTCTCTCTCTCTCTCTCTCTCTCTCTCTCT